AATCATTCAATGTGTTGGAACAAAACAAGGTAACATGCCATTCATACTTGTCATCGTCACAACAGCAAAGTTAGGTTTATAGGACACCAACAACTTCTAAGCGTCTTAATAGACTTCTTTATAYACTACTAAATGAAAGAATTTTACCTACAAATTTTTACCAGGGAAAAGTCTGTCGCTAAAGGGTGATTTGTCACAAACCGTCACAAAAGTTGATGGGTAAATTGTTGGTGGTTCAAATCAGTGAAAGATTACCCGTTGTGGGTGATCAATTGGTATTTTCTATAAAACATTGACTCTACCGAACTAACGGTATTTTCTGGGTGAAGACAGAAATTTCACTGGGTGATTTTTGTGGATAAAATTCATTTGTTTTGTGGTGATAAGATTTAATATATAAGACCCAAAAATAAAGTGTGCTACCTGAAATCGTTGTAATAAGTATTTATGATATTTTGGGTGTCATAACAAGTTTGCATGACACTTTTATAAAAGAACATCATATTAGCAGTTTTACATAATATTATTTGAAAAAGTACCTTATAAAAACAAATGTCCTATAAAAATATGGGTTTATAGGACACTTTCACAAAAGTATCCTATAAAATAGATAATGTAACGCTTTGTATTTAAAATATACTAAAAAACTCTTTAAGATGCCCAAAAGTTTCCTATAAATTTATTAGTTAGCCTTTAGATAGAACACTTTTGTTTTTGTTCCTATAAAAGTCTTATAAAATCAAGTCTATTGGGACGCTTAGAAGTTGGTGGCGAGCTATAACCCAATTTTGTTGTAGTGAATTGTGCAAATTGTAAGTAVTTTGTATTATCTATCTACACATACATAAGACTTCTTTAGTTTTTTGACATTCACTTTCTTCTTAGGGTTCGGGAAAACTTAAAGGCCTCATTCTTGACATGGAAATGCTTGAGAAAGAGGACATAACTGAATCGTTTGAGTTGGAAACAGATGCATTGAGTAAGATGGATAATCTAATGCTACTACAACTCAATTATGTGAAAATCAATGGATCTTATAAGAATTTCCCTAAAAAATTAAGATGGTTGTGTATGCATGGGTTCCCTTTAAAGTCTTTACCTTTAGACWTACCAATGGAGAATATGGTTGTGCTTGACATGTCTTACAGCAATTTGGAATCTTTTGACATGTTTGATGGTAACCCACAACAACCTGGGAAGAGGCAAAAGTTAAGAAACTTGAAGCATCTACTTTAATTTTTTTACTTCTATGGTGGGTTTATGCAGTTCACTCATTATTTTACC